AACCAGCTACTAGATGGTTCGATTAGTCTTTCGCCCCTATACCTAAGTCTATCGATCGATTTGCACGTCAGAACCGATACGGACTTCCATCAGAGTTTCCTCTGACTTCGTCCTGCTCAGGCATAGTTCACCATCTTTCGGGTCGCAACCTGTACGCTCTACCGCTGCCCATCTGCATGCAGACAAGACAGGGCCATGGTGTGACATCTCGCCAAATATATATTTATACGGACGTTTCCCATGTCAGCCGGTTAACCGTGCCTTCACTTTCATTTCGCTTTAAGGTTTTTCACCTATTCACTCGCGTACAAATTACACTCCTCGGTCCGTGTTTCAAGACGGGTCGGAGAGGTGGTTGACTTCTATGCTGACATAGCAACTATTTAAAAATAATTATCATTAAACAATATCAGCTAACAACAAACCTTACCACGTAACACAAGACACCATACTATGGAATAGAACGGGCAACATGTCAACACGGTTCAGATCGTGTAACCGATACTGTCAGCACAGTCGTTGATGGTATACATACTACTTGATCATATTCAAATATATGAATACGATTCTTGCAATACTTATCCATCAGACTACGTCAATTCTCTCCGGTTCCACTTCAACGATTTCACGTTCTCTTGAACTCTCTCTTCAAAGTTCTTTGCAACTTTCCTTCACAGTACTTGTTTGCTATCGAATTCGCGTTCGTATTTAGCCTTAGATGAAGTTTATCACCCACTTAAGGCTGCACTTTCAAGCAACCCGACTCTACGGTATAATCATACGGTATGTTCAACTGTCCGCACAGGTCTCGCACCCTCTCCGGAATATGGTCCCTATCAAAGAAACTTTGGACATGCTAAACAAACCGACAACCATACCTATACGCTACATTTCTTCACGATATAACATCGAAAGATTCAGCGTTGGGCTTTTCCCAGTTCACTCGCCGTTACTTTGGGAATCCTTGTTAGTTTCTTTTCCTCCGCTAAATAATATGCTTAAGTTCAGCGGGTAATCACATCTGACTTCAGGTTGTATTCATTGAGAATTAAATGCAATACACAAAAACTGTATGCTTATTCGCAATATGTCTAGTATTTGTTGTCATTACCATATAGAATACATCTCATTCATTTATTCATTCATTCATTCCATCCATCGATCAATGATCACTTCGCTAATTTCACGATTCTCAACGACACCCATTGAGAATCATCATCGACGACGGTGGCAATGACATCACTAGCCATACAAGCACATAATCATGATATATTACATTTTGTGTAATAATTCATATATAATTATTACATGTAGCAATTATCTCATTCTTTACTAAAACGGGGAACAGTTGCAAATCGGCACATCGACGTCGACGACGACAACGACGACGACGACGACGACCACGACAACAACCACGTTCACCGTTCGACAAATTGTCCAAACATTGAATAGACGCACAAACGTAAACGCAGAACACCGTTCGACGATCAATGTCGTGCATTCTTCTATCANAGTACTTGTTTGCTATCGAATTCGCGTTCGTATTTAGCCTTAGATGAAGTTTATCACCCACTTAAGGCTGCACTTTCAAGCAACCCGACTCTACGGTATAATCATACGGTATGTTCAACTGTCCGCACAGGTCTCGCACCCTCTCCGGAATATGGTCCCTATCAAAGAAACTTTGGACATGCTAAACAAACCGACAACCATACCTATACGCTACATTTCTTCACGATATAACATCGAAAGATTCAGCGTTGGGCTTTTCCCAGTTCACTCGCCGTTACTTTGGGAATCCTTGTTAGTTTCTTTTCCTCCGCTAAATAATATGCTTAAGTTCAGCGGGTAATCACATCTGACTTCAGGTTGTATTCATTGAGAATTAAATGCAATACACAAAAACTGTATGCTTATTCGCAATATGTCTAGTATTTGTTGTCATTACCATATAGAATACATCTCATTCATTTATTCATTCATTCATTCCATCCATCGATCAATGATCACTTCGCTAATTTCACGATTCTCAACGACACCCATTGAGAATCATCATCGACGACGGTGGCAATGACATCACTAGCCATACAAGCACATAATCATGATATATTACATTTTGTGTAATAATTCATATATAATTATTACATGTAGCAATTATCTCATTCTTTACTAAAACGGGGAACAGTTGCAAATCGGCACATCGACGTCGACGACGACAACGACGACGACGACGACGACCACGACAACAACCACGTTCACCGTTCGACAAATTGTCCAAACATTGAATAGACGCACAAACGTAAACGCAGAACACCGTTCGACGATCAATGTCGTGCATTCTTCTATCATACGTAAACGAATATACATCATATATATATATATATATATATACATACATACATATACGACAATAGTTTTAATTTTTAACAACCCTGAACCAGATGTGCCGAAGGGAAAACCCAACGACGCTATGCGTTCAAAATTTCACCACTCTAAGCGTCTGCAATTCGTGGTAAATAACACAGCTAGCTGCGTTTTTCATCGATACGCGAATCGACCGATCCATCGCTGAAGCTAGTAGTATATGAATTTCCATACACACGAATACGTGTATATATTAGATCTTTTTCACATCCTCAAGCATAGAAATTCCATCTTTTTTTCTTGTTTGCTATGCTGGCGCCCATTCACATATTATATGCCCAGGTCATTAAGATTGCCTGTTGTTAATCAGGTAACACACGAGCATAGATATGCCATACTATCCGTTATTCGTCATTAGAAATAAACGAATAAAACACGCCATATATCACGCATATCTATATCATGCATAATCACCAACATAATCACTATCAATCAATCAATTCAAGGTGGCATTCATGCAATGCTCATTAAGTCTTCATACATTCACGAAACGAGTCGCACTATTAATTCATACACACGCGATAGTTCGTGTGTATGCGTTCGCTCGTATAGACAATCATAACCGTCACTCTAGAACGACTCATGCCTATACGTAGACACCTTGTATGTTGAGCTCTAACGGGTCTGACGATACTACCAACTTTGGTGACATAGCCACCAAAAACAAATATATACATACATATATATATGGGAACGCATGTTGGTTTCTCGTTGATCATTACTTCATCAACCATCCACACATCACATCACATCACATGATAACGATGAGTTTGTTTTGTGGTGGTTTTAGCGATGATCCATCTGCAGGTTCACCTACAGATACCTTGTTACGACTTTTACCCGGTTCAAGCCATTGCGATTGAACTGTTTCCCGCTATATCGCGACCCGAAGGCCTCAATACAGTAGTCCGCAGTCCTCTCGAGACAGCTCAGTCCCGGACAGCGACGGGCGGTGTGTACAAATGGCAGGGACGTAATCAGCGTGAGCTGATGACTCACACTTACTAGGAATTCCTCGTTCAAGGGAAATAATTACAATTCCCTATCCCGGTCACGGAAGAGTTTCAACGGTTTACCAATACCTTTCGGCAATGGATAGGCCAGTTGATTCTTCCATTGTAGCGCGCGTGCAGCCCCGGACATCTAAGGGCATCACAGACCTGTTATCGCTCAATCTCGTGCGGCTAAACACCGCTTATCCCTCTAAGAAGTAGACTAGACACAGTAATCTAGTCACTATTTAGCAGGCTAGAGTCTCGCTCGTTATCGGAATAAACCAGACAAATCGCTCCACCAACTAAGAACGGCCATGCACCACCAACCACCAAATCGAGAAAGAGCTTTCAATCTGTCAATCCTTACGGTGTCCGGGCCGGGTGAGTTTTCCCGTGTTGAGTCAAATTAAGCCGCAGGCTCCACTCCTGGTGGTGCCATTCCGTCAATTTCTTTAAGTTTCAGCTTTGCAACCATACTACCCCAGGAACCGAAAGACTTTCGTTTCCGGGAAGCTCCTCGACAAGGCAACAATACCCCATCGGATCGCTAGATGGCATAGTTTACGGTCAGAACTAGGGCGGTATCTAATCGCCTTCGAACCTCTGACTTTCGTTCTTGATTAATGAAGACATTCTTGGCAAATGCTTTCGCTTTAGGGCGTCCCCCTGCGGTCCACGAATTTCACCTCTCGCGCAGGGATACGAATGCCCCCGAATTGTCCCTCTTAATCATTACTTCCGTTCCTGAACCAATAAATAGAACCGAAGTCCTCTTTTATTATTCCATGATCGACCATTCAAGCAAACGCTTGTTCTGAGCACTCTAATTTATTCAAAGTAAACTCGCTAGCCACTAAAGAAATCGAGATTTCAATAGAAAACCAGCAAATAGTCACAACAATGATTAACGCCAAAGGCGAATCATTGCATGTAACTCAGATCCAACTACGAGCTTTTTAACCGCAGCAATGACGATTTACACTAGTGGAGCTGGAATTACCGCGGCTGCTGGCACCAGACTTGCCCTCCACTTGATACTCGAAAAAAGGTTTATGATCAACTCATTGAAATAACCGTTCCATAGGAATGGTCTTTTTATTTTTAGTCACTATCTCATCTATTCAAGATTGGATAAGTTTCGCGCCTGCTGCCTTCCTTGGATGTGGTAGCCGTTTCTAAGGCTCCCTCTCCGGAGTCGAACCCTTATTCTCCGTTACCCGTAATAACCATGGTAGACTAATAGACTACCATCAGGTTGATAGGGCAGACACTTTTTCGGATTATCGGCGAACAAGCCGCCGATATGCTGCGTTATTCAGAGTCAGCAAACTACATCCGAAAATGATTGATTTGCTCTAATAATTGCACCCTTTCGAAAGTCAGGGTTTAACCGCATGTATTAGCTCCAGAATTACCGCAGTTATCCAATAGGATTTTCCGAATAAATGACATCTGCTCTAATGAGCCGTTCGCAGTTTCACTTGAAGCTGAACTCCTCATGCATGGCTTAATCTTTTAACTGAGCATATAGCGCTGACAGAATCAATCAGGTATTCGGCACAGTCGCCCAGACGGCTCACA